TAGAAGTATATTTGTTAAATTTAAATGCTTACAACAATAATCCAGTGCCTTGCACAATGCACAGGAATCATTACATGGTTATTTTGTAAAATTTTAGGATCCTTAGGAGAAATTAGTAATATAATTAATGAACCAAAAAGTATGTTATACTTTCTTTTGTTTCACGCCTTTGTAGCTCTGAGCTAAAGGCTCGGGTATGAAACTAGGATCGAAATAAGTAATATGCTGAGGAGTTGTCTTCTATATACAGTGTAAGAATAATTATTATTTATTTTAGTTAAGTAACGTTTACAAACTTTCCTAGATTCTTGTACAAGTAAAGACATATACTCCACAATATCCTAAGTGAATCAACTTCAATTTCATTATTAAAATTTTTTGGTAAAGTTACCTCATTTCGCAGCCATCTGCTTGTAATATTTGTATATTTCTGAATAATAATTGGAAGTAATTATAAAATTTGAGCATTATTATGTACAAACTATATTAATACTATGTCTTTCTTCTTAAAAATATATTACTATGATAAATTTATTTGTCATTTATACAGTGCTTATACACTATGTACCTGTGGCCAGTGAATAGGGAAGTTGTCTTTGCCTTCTTCCAAAAATATCTACAAAAAATGTATGTATGCTTGCATGAAGCATTCATACCTTCAAATGACTGCCTATTGTATAGATGGCAAGCACAACATTACGCTATTAATACATTCAATGAATGGCAACATGGTATCATGATTACCTGGTGATATCTACTTTTAATAGATGAAGTTGCTATCTGTGAAACATTTTCATTTTCGTAACAAATCCATCTTTTGTTACTACGTACAACAACCTTATCTTTAATAGTATCAGTCATTACTAAACATCGAAATTATTACAATTCAATGACTTACAATGTCCTGTTTTAATACTTTTTCCAGCATGTACCTGCAATATTAATTTAAAGTATACATACTGCATATATCTGAGAAACTGGAATGTATACAAACACAAAAAACACAGAAATGTGTGTAGGTAGTGATGACGAAACAGAATCACAATGTTAGAAATGAAGGTGGAGCTGCCACACCCAGATATAAGACGAAATGTGTGAAAGTGTGCATATATCTGAGAAACCAGAATGAATACGAACACAAAAGATACAGAAATGTGTGTAGGTAGTGATGACAAAACAGAATCACAATGTTAAAAATCAAGGCGGAGCTGTCACACCCAGATATCAGACGAAATGTGGAAAGTGTACATATATCTGAGAAACTGGAATGAATACAAACACAAAACATAGGCATAGGAATGGGGGGGCTGCAGCCCCCCCAACGTTTCAGCAAGAGGGGCTTAGCCCCCCAATGTTCACATGCTAAGTCATGCTTTTTAATGTTGAGCCCTCCCAACTTTCGAATCATTCTTACACCTATGCAAAAGGTATAGAAATGTATTTCGTTAGTGACGAAAAAACAGAATCACTATGTTAAAAATCAAGGCGGAGCTGCCACACCCAGATATAAGACGAAATGTGTGAAAGTATGCATATATCTGAAAAACCGGAATGAATACAAACACAAAAGATACAGAAATGTGTGTAGGTAGTGATGACAAAACAGAATCACAATGTTAAAAATCAAGGTGGAGCTGCCACACCCAGATATAAGACAAAATGTGTGAAAGTGTACATATATCTGAGAAACCAGAATGAATAGAAACACAAAATGTATAAAAATGTACTTAGTTAATGACGACAAAACAGAATCACAATCATAAAATCAATGAATATGTTAATTAATAATATACATGTATGCTGCCATTAGAATTAAAAGAAACAAAAAAAATTACATAAAATTTTAAAACTGTACAACTATCATAGTTTCAGATATACATTAGTATAAAAAATACCTACAAAGTTAGCTTGGTCAGGCCTTAGTATTTAGTGTTGGGGGGCCTTATGTTTTATCCAATCATCATTCAATATTCTTTTCAAAGCTTTCAGTATAGATTTAGTACCATATGAGTGTAGTTGGTCCGGTCTATAGAAAAAGATAAAATGTTACCTATATATGGGTAAGGCCGCTCCAATCGAATTATTAGTTTCCCGTTTCCCGCCCGCACCCACCCGCATCATAACTTATTATTGTTATTATTTTGTCACGTGATTTGTAGCGCACATGTGCCAAGAAGAAGATGAGTTGTGTTGTTAACTGCTCTGTATTTTGCATCACAAAAAGCAAAACCATCTTTCCCTGGACTATACTAAAAGTCCCCGAGTGTGAGTTGTCGTTTGCAAGGTTCTTTGAAACGGAAATTGAGAGTAGAATCAGCGCAGCTCTACCACTCGAATTAATCTCGGCATATGCAGGAAAAAGCAAAGACTCGATGGATGAAGTCGACTTAATGCTACAGGTACCATCGGTTATATCGTTATTCGGTCCATATATTAAGTACCGTACTGTATCAGTTGAAAATGAAGAGGTTATTGTTAGTGCTGCTGCATTGTCTCCTCGATCGTCACTGATCACTCAATCAACAAAA